GGAGAGGGGAATTTCACTTCTGTTGCAGTGGGAGCGTTGTCAGACTCGATGACTGTCAGACTCTGGGCTTCCTTATTCGATCTTTGAGCTGAGTGGAAGAAGATGAAGTGTGACTCAGCTATTCAGCTAAAGACGCCACAACCCCAAGCGTCTTTAGTTTTTGTTCTGATTTTTATCTTCAGTAGCTGGCTGACTGGGCATGAGTAATTCCAACTCCCCAGGCTGGGTGCACTTCACAGGCACGGGTCAGCATGAAATAAAATCTGTGGCTCCAAGCCCACCTTGACTGTGGTCACCAAAGATGCTTACCCTGACCCTGGGGTAAGAAATGAGCCCTTGGAGGGTCCTGGGTGTGCCCAGCCCCCACTGATGTGACTGGCAGCCACTACCACAGTCTGCAGCCCCGGGCAGGGGAGCCTCCCCTTCCAAAGTTCTAGAGGATTTTAAAAAATGTTTAAAGTCATTTACAGCAAAACAAAATCAAGTATCAAGTTTCGAGTCACCTCTCTTGCAAACAGAAACTTTTCTGTAAGAACTGCTTCTGCTAGGCTGGGTGTGGTGGCTCACGCCTGTAATCCCAGCATTTTGGGAGGCCGAGGTGGGCAGATCATGAAGTCAGGAGTTTGAGACCAGCCTGGCCAACATAATGAAATCCTGTCTCTGCTAAAAATACAAAAAATTAGCTGGTCGTGGTTACATGCACTTATAGTCCCAGCTACTAGGGAGGCTGAGGCAGGAGAATCATTTGAACCTGGGAGATGGAGGTTGCAGTGAGCTGAGATCACACCACTGCACTCTAGCCCAGGAGACAGAGTGAGACTCTGTCTCAAAAAAAAAAAAAAAGAAAAAGAAAAAGAAAAAAGAAACTAGAGGGCAAGGGATGCATTGATGTAGCTGGTATGCGCCAGCCTCTCTGGGCACAGTGCAGGGTGAAGAAGGGTGGCGACAGCGCTGGAGGAACATAGCACCTGTCCTCTGATCCAGATGACAGAGAAAGAAGTCACAGTCTAGGTGTCAGAAAACCTGAGCTCTATCCCCAGGGTTTCCCCTGACTGATTGCATGAATGTGGGCAAGCCCCTGGTCTGCTCTGAGCCTTTGTTTTCCCATCTAGAAAATGACAAAGTTGGAGCAGTGACATCCAAGTTCCCTCCAAACCTAACATACTGTCTTTTACTGACACTGCTGCAGATGAAGTAACAAGGCAAAGCTATGTTTGCCATTAGTTCTCAGGGAAATGCAAATGAAACCCACAATGAGACACCACTTCACACCCACTAGGATGCATCAAAAGACAGCTACATATCAAAAAGACAGATCATAATGTGTGGAGGGTGTGGAGGCACTGGAGCCCTTGTGTGCTGCTAGTGGGAATGTTAAATGGGGCAGACACTTAACAGTGGCTGGAAAATTGTCTAGCAGTTCCTCAAAAGGCTAAACAGAGGTACCACATGACCCTGCCATTCCACTGCTGCATATATTTCCAAGAGAAATGAGAGCACATGTACACCCAAAAACTTGCACACAAATGCTCATAGCAGCATTCATAATGCATTCCAGATAAACAAGATGTAGTATATCTACAGGATGGAATGCTACTAGACAACAAAGGAAATAAAGTACAACATGCATAAACCTTGAAGACATTATGCTACACGAAAAAAGAGCATGTTCTCACTCAGAGCTGGGACTTGAACAATGAGAACATTTGGACGCAGGGTGGGGAACATCACATACTGGGGCCTGTCGTGGGGTGGGGGGAGCGGGGAGGGATAGCATTAGGAGATATACCTAATGTAAATGACGAGTTAATGGGTGCAGCACACCAACATGGCACATATGTACATATGTAACAAACCTGCACGTTGTGCACATGTATCCCAGAACTTAAAAGTATAATTAAAAAAAGAAAAAAGTCAGAGGGAAAAGGCCACACATTGTATGTGTGACCTGCCTACTTCCCTCTCCGTGATGCTTCCTCTCTGGTCAGCTCCTCTCCCTGGGTTCTGGTCATTATTTTTTTCCCTTTGTCCCTCAGGGCTAGGGGTGGTAACTGCTCCTTCTATTTCTTACCCCAGGAAACTGCATCCATTACTGATTGCCATAAACATTTTCCTCCACTTTGTGAATAGTTCTTGATTAAACTTTCCTACTGTTTCCCAACTTCTGCATCTGTATCTTGATGCAGTGCCTTACTCTCCACCCATCCATCCATCCATCCATTCATCCATCCATCCATCCATCCATCCATCATCCATCCACCCATCCACCTATTCATCCATCTATCCATCCATCCATCCATCCATCCATCCATCCATCCATTCTTCCATCCCTTCATCCATCCATCCACCCATCCACCTGTTCATCCATCCACTCATTCATCTATCCATCCATCTATCCAACCTCCCACCGTCCATACCCCCATCCATCCATCCACCCAATCACCCATCCACCGTTCATCCATTCACTCATTGACCTATCTATCCATCCATCCATCCTTCCACCCTCCATCTACCCCCCATCCATCCATCCATCCATTCATCCATCCATCCATCCATCATCCATCCACCCGTCCACCTATTCATCCATCTATCCATCCATCCATCCATCCATCCATCCATCCATCCATCCATCCATCCACCTGTTCATCCATCCACTCATCCATCTATCCATCCATCCATCCACCCTCCCACCATCCATCCATCCACCCAATCACCCATCCACCATTCATCTATTCACTCATCGACCTATCTATCCATCCATCCATCCTTCCACCCTCCATCTACCCCCCCCCATCCATCCATGCACCCATCCATTCACTCTTCCATTCAGAAGCACAATGCAGCATTCATTCTGGATGCTTAGTACATTCAGCAAACACTGAGTCCCTACTGCTCAGTAAGTGGCCAGTGCTAGGCCCTGTGCCAGGAATATAGGTAATTAAAGCACAGCCTCTGTTCTCCAGAAGTTGATGATACAGTCTGGGGATAAAAATAAAATATACATATCTCGTGTCCTGTCTAGTGAGCAAAAAAAAAAAAAGAAAGTGAGCCAAAAAAAGAAAGAAAAGAAAAGAAAAAGCCTTGGCAATTACTTAGCAAGATTAGCAATTACTTAGCAAGATTTGGAGACTTAAAGGGTACATTATGGGTTCTATTATTTTTAAGTTTTGAAGCAGTTTAGGAGCGTATGATTCTTCACCCTCCACAGGCTCCAAAAACCACCAAGAACTGAGCCTGCTATGAGCTGTCACTGGGCAGGGACCTATCCTGCTTTTCTTTGTATATCCGGGGCTCAGCACATAGTAGGTGCTCTGGGAAGTCAGCAGAATTTAATTAACTCTGACCTGAAGACAAGGCTCTACAAAAACGGAGACGTTGGGAACAGTCTGTGTTCAAAACGTTATAGTAACAAGCAGTCAGCCAAACTGCATGGTGGAAAGACTGCTCCGCCTCCCTCTCTTCTCCATCTCTATGGTGACTGTTAAGGGAACTGGTCAAGGTCAAACATGGTCAACCAAGCAGGAATATCCCAGGGACTCTGGCAGCTGCAGCTTAGGTTTATACCACTGCGTGGAGGTCTTCTGTATTTCAGATTATAATATTTGTGCATTGTATGAGAGTCTTTTTTGTTATTGCACAAATATGATAAAGACATTAAATACATTTTTAAGAAAGAAAAATAAACCATCCCTTTGCCATTGAACTGATTGAATGTTTGCATTTCCCTTCCAGCCTTTGTCTATTTCCATATGCATTTCATCCTCCTCCGTGGTGATCACAGTGAACCTCTAATTTTGTATTCTGCTTATAATGCCTTTTTTAAAAAAAAGCATTGTTCTTTCATGGAGATTCCGTGCTTGGGGCCAATCCTCGTTGGCACATCAGTTTTCCTCTTAGGAGCACATCATGCAAAAGACAATGGGAGACGTTTTCATGGCTTCTATTGGGTGTCTGTGAAATGCTTTGTTTCCACAGACTAAGGAGTTAGCATAAGCACAGAACAGAACAGACTTTTCATACGGATTATTCGTATTGTTCGCTCAATGGGGTGTTTTATTTCCCATATAAATCAAGTGGACACAGCATGGGTGTTAGCCTGAATAACCAAGATTTTTATTCCGAGATACTCACTAACTGTGTGAGCTTGGGCCACTAACCTAAATCTCTGGTTGTCAGTTTCTATCTCTGAAAGTAAGAACAACTTCTATCTACTAGGACCGGGGAGAGGAGAGAATGACATGAGATAGAGATTGGGTTCTGTCTGTGAGACTCTATAGAACTATAGTTCTCTGAACGATACTGAGATTAACCTTGGGCAAACCTCTCTGATCCTTTGCTTATATATCCGTGAAATGAGAAAATAAAGGTCCCAGCGAGCCTGAATGAGATCATGAGTACGAAAGCGCCCTGTTAGTGAAAATGCCCCTGGTCATCACTCCACTACATCTTCCTGTCTCTGTTTTCTCTTGGCCCTAGAAAGTGGTGTGGAAGTTTGGGGGTGAGTTCTGAAGTGCATTCCGCAACTGGAAGCAGAGCAGCCACTGATTGCCTTGGGCCAGCAGTTTCCGGAGCCCAAACTTGGACCTCTGCATCCCTGCTAGGGCCCCAGCTCTAAGTACTGGGATATGGTGCT